TATATAATTATATCTTATATATCTGCTGGTTGTTAATAATGAAAATAAAATAAACACAAGATATAAATTTTAAAAAAATAATTATCTTACTTACTTACTTACTTAACCCAGTCCTCTTTGTTACCGCTGAGCAGTGTGAGGTTCCTTCTTATAAAGCTTAATCCAAGAATCTCTATCCTGGGCCAGCTGTCTTCTCCTACTCCAGTCCATTCCTCTCCTGTCAAAGGCTTCTTTAATTCTTTCTTCCCATCTTTTTCTTGGTCTTCCCTATGGCCGCCTTACCTCCACTTTGACCTCATAGGTAGCCCTGGCAATGCTATTTTCAGCCATTCACGAGACATGTCCAATCCACCTAAGTTGTTTTTCTTGGATTACTTTCTCTGCAGGCCTCAGATCCAGATTACGTCGTATGGTCACATTCCTAACGTGATCTCTTCTTGTTTTCCCCTCTATTTTCCTTAAATATCGCATTTTCGTAGTTTGGATTTGGCTTTTGTGCTTGGGAGTGAGGGTCCAAAACTCGCTTGCATATATTAATATAGGGAGGAAGGGATTCTTGCAGACAATCTTCTTAGTGGCCTTTGAGACTTCCTTTTTGTCAAAGAAGCCTGACTTGAGTGAGTAGAAGCATTTTCCTGTCGTCTTAATTCTCTCTTTTATGTCTCCATCAACCCATCCTAACTCGTTGAGGTGATCACCGAGGTATTTAAAATCCATTACTTGATCCAGACGGATTCCACCCAGCCGAACGATCCGGTATCCTCGTTCACTTCTTCTCCCAATCATCATAAATTTTGCTTTGGAGATGTTAATTTCCATGTTTATATTTCTCATCTCAGCTTGAAGAATCTTGAGGTCATTTCCGAACACCAGCATATCGTCAGCAAAAGCAAGCAATGTATACTGGACGCGTTGTAGGTTCCTATATCCGAGGTTGTATGGCCTCATTTTCTGTTTTGCTTGTTTTAGGGCAGAGTCCAGCACTAGTATAAACAATAGGGGGCTAAGGCTGCATCCCTGTTTGATTCCTTGATCTGTTGAGAATTCTTTTGAAGTATGGTTGCACATCCTGACAATATTTTTCTGTGTTTCATGATGATGGCTTTTCTCAATCCTATATGAAAGCCACACTCCTCCAATGCTCTTGATATGTCTGCCTTCTGCACCCTGTCAAACGCTTTATTTAGATCTAAAAAACAGGCGAAGACCTCTCTGCTCTTCTCTATAATCTTCTCGAATATTTGTCTCATCGTGAATATCAAATCCTGTGTACTTCTGTTAGGCCGGAAGCCATATTGTTCTTCCCCTATCTTTTGTTCTATGAGGCTTCTTAGCCGCTTTTCGAGCACCTTTCAATAAACTTTGTAGGGGGTGCAGAGTAGGGATATGCCTCAATGGTTCCGACATTCACGATTATCCCTTTTTTTGAAAATTGAGATTATGATGGAGACTTCCCAGTCCTTTGGGATAACTTTATTTTTCCAAACTAGGTGCTGGAACAGTTCGATTCCTTTTAAACCCCTATATTTCAACATTTCTGGCGCAATGCCGTCTATACCAGTCGCTTTTCCCAGCTTTTATGAACTTATGAACAGCCTCGGCAACTTCTTCTTCTCCGATGAAGTCATCTTCTTACCAGGTGTCTTCTGAGCTACCAGACTTGTTTCGCTTCCATTTCCTTCCCTTGATATGCAAGTAATTCCTTAAAATATTCCGCCCATCTATTCATAATGTTTTCTGGCCTACTCAGGATGGCTCAATGTCCTTTATGTGCTTCAGCACTGGTTCCTTCTGCTTTCTCATGCTCCTGAGACTTAAGTAGAAAAGTTTCTGATTTTCCTTGTAATTACTTTCCATATTCTTCCCAGGACTTTTTCTTTCCTCTCATCACGGCCTTTTTCACTTTCTGTCTTTGCTCCTTGTATGCTGAGTATGCCGCATCTGACTTGGTTTGCAGGTATCTCTTCCATAGGGTTTTCTTCTGTTTGATTTTCTCTTTAATTTCCTCATTCCACCAAGCAGTTTTCTTTGATTTATGTCCCAGCTTGCTTTTTCCACATGTCATCTCGGCTGCCTCCAGTATTATTATCTTGATTGCCGACCAAGAATCTTCTACGTTGTCACTGTCCCAATTGTATCTTTCACTATTCACCTTTTCTTCAATCAAGTCCTAATATGCCCGTATCACCTGGCTCACTGAGTTTAAAATATTTTATTTTGAACTTATTTGTTCGGTTTAACGTTCCTGGTGTGGTAGCGGGATTATTGAGGTTAGACCATCGCGGGGTTAGATAATAGACCTTTCATTTCGACTTGGCTGCTCTCTTGTATATTTGTGAATCTTTTTGTGTGGGAAGAAGCTGTTTCCAACTAGCATATCCATTTGCAAGACAAAAGTTAAGAATTCTTTTGCCGTTGTCGTCGCAACTTTCATCACCATCCGGTCCCAATAAAACAAAATAATTATCTATTTATTTAAATTATTATTTTTCTTGTATTTTATATATTTTTTTTTACATTTTTCCGTAAATATTGTATGAATATATTTTTTTCTCGTTATAAATATTATTCTTTATTCCGACAGAATATTATAGTTTATAAAACAGTTTCAGATACATGTATCTTTTAATTTGACTTCTAACTGTACTAATGTTAAATTGTCCCTCATCAGGTAAGTAATAGTCCTTCACTGAATCAGGAAGATCTCAGCCTGGTTGAGGATATTCCGTTTTCTTTTCGCTATTTTAAGTTTTTTTCATTTTTTAATAATATTAACAGGAGTCTTCAGGAATATCAGCTTTTGGAGTGAGAGGGTTTGATACTGAATTTTTTATTTTCAGTTCAGAGAGAAATTTGTGTTTCTGAATATCGTTATGGCGAAAAGATAGCTCACAGATAAAGAACCTGCCGCCTAGAGGCGGCAGTGTGGCCTCCGTGACGTAGCTGCGTCCAAACGTTTTGTGCGTTTTTCATTAATCTAGAGCTAGAATAAATAAACTTTAATTATTTAGGGTACGAAAATTTAATAATCAATAGAGTTAAGTTGAATGCATGTATATGGGTGTGTATTTACTTATTATTAAAATTAGCACCAGTGAAATAAAGACTATTATTGCGGTCTCCATTATCACTGCCTTACCTTGCGACCCCTCATGGTCCATATTGGGTGATTGCCTGTTTAAAATTTTTAATGATCAGCTTCACATTCTGACTGATTGATTAGTTATTATAATGATTTCTTTGTGTTTGGCAAAGTTAATGTTTTTGGGTGGGCGGAGTGGCCGAACGAGCAACGTGTGTGCACAGCACTGCCGTTGCTGGTAACCTGATCTATGAGACAATGGATTTAAAATAGTCACAAGTTCGCGCCCCCGTGCCGAGGGAGTCTTTTAAATCCCCATCCCCAAACCCTGGCCCGGGAAAACCCCGTATAGCCTTAAAGGCGAGGAAGGGGAGGACCTAAAAAAAAATAAAGTTAAGGTTTTTGGTGTGCAATCTTGAACGGCTCCTTTTTTTGGACGCTCACAAAAGAAGACTTCGATACTGACTTATTACTTGTAATAAGCACCCCTTAAACTTAGAATTTTCTTATGAAATTCTACTTCCTAAATATTAATCTTCACTACTTCTAATTTATATGTTTTAACTATTATTATATTTTCTTTTTATGAAGATCCGTGCTATTGAATCACGTTCTAGAATGTAAGACTGATAGCCGCTTTAAGTATGAAAAGTTGTAATCGTTATTCATGATGTTTCTACTGCTATTATGAAATCAACATCGAATTTTGTAATATGTCTTCACATTAGTAAAATTACCGTTTTTTAAGCCACACGCTTGCCAAAAATAGCTTTGAGGGAGGTTTTACTATTGTTTTAAAAAAATGTTATTCAATGTGTCTTAGCATGTTTTGGACCATTTGGCGAATGCTTTGACAGTTCAGTTCACAAGGTTATCCATAACAGCGCGTGAGTTAATCACTCGGAAGCGATAACAATTCTCCTGAAATAAGTTTCGTCGTGAATAGCATTGACATCAGATTGGACAAATTTGGTTATTTTTGAATTAAAATCATATTTTCATTCTCATCAATGAGGATTTTATTTTATTTAGGTTTACAAGTCTTCGGGCTACCAAAGTTGAGGTTATTGAAATTTCTCTGTAAACCTAATGCAAAAATAGTAATATTTAGTTAAAAATTTAATTAATATTAAATGTTGTATTTTCGGCTATATTTATGAACGATCCTAAGGAATAGTTTTTAGGAAGCTTAAAGTTTTATATTTGGATAGTTGCACTAACGGATCAAAGATTTAATTTGGAGGGGGGGGGGGCTTCAGACCAAATTTTTGTTTTTTCATATGCATATAACAATAATTAATTAGAAAAAAAAGGAAGAAATTAACTACCTATATGAAAAAAGTAGTTCTTGAAGTCCTATTAAATATAATTACACGAACAAGAATACTTTAAGAGATAGTTTTTAATATTTTTTTCTGTAAAACATGGTTACATTTTACCATTTTGGGAGGGGGGGGGCTTCAGCCCGAAAGCCTCTCCCCCCGTACATCCGCCTGTGGATAGTTGCTAATAAAGGACATTCTTGCCAAGATATCTATCTGAGTCGTCAATCCTTTCTCCCCTGCTTAAAAAATGTGATTTGCTATATCAATAATGGAAAACTGTTAATTTTTAGTATTAAATGAATTACCAGAAATTTAGAGGAAGTGATAGAAGTATTTTCAGTAATTATAATTAATAATTCACTCATACTCTAAACCCACATTTTCAAAATTTAGACAAGAAAGACAATTAATTATTAAAATTTTTACGAAACTAACGTAAAGCTCAAATTGTAAAATAATAAAGATATTTGAATGTTGCATGGACATATAGTTTGGTAGGGAGTTTATTGATAGGTTATCATCACGCTGTATATCTGCTTAGTTTCCTATAATTAGTTTTTAGTCTATTTATATTTTAGATTAAGTTGTAAATCATGAGCTACATTAAAGGTTAGTCAACATACCAAACAATAATTAATATTTTATTAGAATGACTTTTTTAAATCATTCAATTAGGCCGGCCAAAAGCCTTTGTTTATAGTTTTTAGACATCACAGTTCAAATATTTTAAGGAAAAAAATGAGTACTTTTGTGCAAAAATTGAATCCACTTACGGGAAAAACTATCTGGGAAATGGAAGATGAAAATTATGACTACCATCAAGAAATAGCTAGGTCCATGTATGCTGACATGCTTCATGATACAGATAGAGTAATTTATTTTTTTTTTTTATGGCTCTAATAGTGATATAAAAGTTGAATATCACAAAATAAAGTTTATGTTTGGATTTGTTGCAGAATCAAAAGTATTATAAAGCTCTAAAAAGTATCATTGATAAGAAACATGCCCAGGGGCAAAAAGCTAATGTTCTTGACATAGGAACAGGTACTGGTCTTTTGTCAATGATGGCTGCTAAATGTAATGCTGACAGTATTGTTGCCTGTGAAGTAAGTTATTTTTCATATTTTTTTATGTTCCTAAATATTTTTGTATGATTATTAAGACTTAACGTAGACTTTTTTCAATTTATTAGGCATTTCCTCCTATAGCAGCTATAGCTAGGAGGGTTATAGCAGATAACAATTTGTCTGATAAAATAAAAGTTGTTGCTAAAAGATCAACTGAGTTAGAAGTTGGACCTGACAAAGATATGGAATACAGGGCAAATATTCTTGTCACTGAGGTATTTGATACTGAGTTGATTGGAGAAGGTGCTGTAGAGACATTTAACCATGCTAAGACATACTTACTTGAGGTATGTGATATTTCACTTTACAATTAGTTGATTTTTAAATCTGTTCAGCTGATTACAACTTATTATTGTATGGATGATATCATTTAGTTTATCTCTTGTAAGATTCATAAATCGCTACTTTAATCATGCACCGCCAAATTGAAAGGGGTACTACTGTACAAATGCCACTCCATCTTGTCCAGTGTGTCAAGATCCCTTTTTCACTGCCCTAAAAGATTCCAAGAATAGTGGAAGAATGACAACTTGTTTACAGTATAACCTCCCTTCTGGTTCTTTTCAATTAATATCAGGGCTTTAATTATGTCACTGTTTTTGACTCTTACTCTTACACTCGCTCTAAAGGAATGAACAATCTCCGACAGGTTCTTTTTAGTAGTGGTCAAGTTCTCACCTGTCGATTGAGTCACTTCTGTCTACTTTCGAACACACTCGGCCATTCTCCGTGTTCCATTTATGGTGGGATCATGAGGTCTTGTGCCACCGATGAAAGTGGAGTGACATTTGTTGAGTACGCTCTGAGAGGTGCTCCTCTCTTAACGTGTGTTTCTGTTAAAGTATTGTTAAACTGATGATAATTGATCCAAAACAGGTTTATACTAGATCCTATCAGGATGTTAATACCAAAGAAATAAAATTATGATATTAACAATATAAGTTTGTTTCCCTTTCATTCTGGATGTGCAGTATAATAACTTTATTACCAACCTAAGAAAGTCTTGACTTATTCCACCTAAAAAAGTGTGACCTTTTATTGAAATTAAAATTCTACTCATCAAAATCAATAACATTGATTATATCCTTCATGTTTGTTTTAGTATATTTGTTTTAATTTTAATGAATTGAATTTGTTTTATTATTTTCAATTATGAACCTTTGCTCATCTTAATTTTACAGTTCAAGATAATTTTCCCTGTTATCTATTCCTGACTGTCGATAGCAATTATCAGTAGGTAGAATTCCTCTCTCTATACAGGTAAATGTTTATACAGTGGATGCTGATATATTTGGGAATTTGCAATTTTATACCTAACTGGAAAGAGAAAGCAGTATAAGTATGACATAGTAATAGAAGTAATAATAATGTGAAATCTAAATGCTAGAATTGAAAAACATAATAGAGGAATATACCATGAGACTTAATGGAGGTGAAGCAATTAAAAATAGAAATGGACAGAGACCAATAGGATTCTGTACACACTATGATCTGTTAATTGGCAATGCGTTTTCCCCAAGGATAAAATGTTATGGAATTTTTTTTAGAAATTCTATTCTGACAGATTCTGTGAAACCATTTTAGGAAAAAGGTTCTAAGGAACATTTTTGTAATAATGTTTCAGATTTATGGTAAAAGTTTAACTTTTATCTATTCAAATTCTTTAAAAAAGTTCCGTTAAATAAAAAGTAAACAATAATTGGGCTTATATTAAGGTTATAATTTATCTTAAATCAATTATACATTATTTTAATGTGTCGTTTGGTTGAGTAGCTGTGAACAAAAGCCATTTTTTAGATCGACTAAGCAAAATCGACAGAACTTTTAAATAAAAGTTCTGTAAAAGCTTCACTTGAAAAGTTGAGGAAGAAAGTTCTAGTTCCAAAAGAACTGAAAAACTATTGAAAAAATTCCCATGATACTAAAACTTTTTAAAAATAATTTTTTTTTTTCCATTTAAGCCCTGTATTTTTTCCATCAAGATGTACATAAAATTACATTTTCTTTGTAGAAAAGGAATAAAAACAGCATCATTATCTAATAGTATGTACTATTCCATTTGCAACATAATTGTAGGAAAGAGAGAGGTCAACATTTTCTAGGCTGTTTATTCTCATATTCTGCTGTATGGAGCAAAGAGCTGGGTCCTCCAAGATAACAAATGGAGCTAAATTACTTCAGCAGAGATGAAATACTTGCACAGAGTGGCTTCAAAATCATGTATGGATTGGATCAGAAATAAAACTACAAAGAATGAATTAAATATTTCTGCAATAAAGGAGACCCTGTAGAAAAAGCAGTTGGAATGGTACAAGTATCTATGCACAATTAGTGCTATTCAACATCCTCATAAATTTAGGGAGGCGAAACCAGTAGGCACTAGACCTTGAGGAAGACCTCAGCTTAGCTATGATAGCTATATTTCCAAGCGAGAGTATAGAAATTGCAGGAGATGACGGCTATTGCAAGATACGGAGATTCTGAGTTGGATTAACTTAATGCTGAAAGACACTATGCGGAAGTTAAAGGAGAAGATAATTTTGTTTTATAAATCTGTCCATGGCTTTTTTGTAAATCTGTTTTATTCTATTTTTTTTTTTAATTAACACCTAAGTAACAGGTCACTCTAGGATGATTCTCAAAACTCGACAATATCATCCACAATTCTTTTTTAAAATGACACCTGATTAGAGGTTTCATACTCTTGGTCATTTATGAAGAGAAAGGAAAAATATAAAACTTTTTAAACTCATTATACCAAAGACTAAATTATATTTATTAAAAATATATAGGAGTGGCCTTTTATTTAAGATTGACATGTCATTTTTTAAAAAAGTTGAGAAAAAAACAATGTTTGTAATGTAGCATCAGTTTAAACAAATTCTAATGTTTTAACTTTAACATTCTTAAATAAAATCATCAGAAATAGTTAATATATATATATTCTTATGTTCCCGGAACCGTAGATTTTGAAAATGGCCTCTATTTTATGATTACGCCACTGCATTTCGACTTATTTAAGTTTTTTGGATTTATTCGATATAAGGATGTATTCTTATGTTCCCGGAACCGTAGATTTTGAAAATGATCTCCATTTTAAGATAAATAAATAAAAAAAGGTTGAATTTGAAATGAAAAAGGTTTAAATTGAAATGGAAAAGGTTGAATTTGAGTTGGGAAAAGTTTAATTTGATTTGGAAAAGGTTGAAATTGACTTGGAAAAGCTATATTTATCTTATATTATCATTTTTCCTTTTTTATATTATTTTAAATTTTACAAACTTTACCTTCTTTCTCTTCTGAAAGTTACCAAACTGTAGTTAAATGATTTGCAACATTTTCAACTAAATAATTAGGAAGGAAGATTGATTTTGTTACTAAACAAATGTGAAGAAAAACAAAATTATTATTGTTTTATTCAATTATTAGTATTAATTATATTAAATCCTTTTTTTAATTATTTTTTGTGTAGCCAAATGTTTTGATGATTTTGTTACTAAATAAATGTGAAGAAAAACAAAATTATTATTGTTTTATTCAATTATTAGTATTAATTATATTAAATCCTTTTTTTAATTATTTTTTGTGTAGCCAAATGCTACAGTTATTCCAGAGAAAGGAAGGGTCTATGCAGCCGTTGTTGAGAGTGACTTTTTATCTTCATGCAACAAATTCAATTCTTCATATCCTCTTCCTGATGGTGGTGAAATACTAATGCCGGAAGATATCATCAATTGTCCAGGAACAAATGGTGTGCATGATATCCAACTGAGTCAGTTGCCTACCGATGGTTTCAAAATGTTAACTCAACCTTTAAACATTGTTACGTGAGTAATATTTATTTTTTATTTTTTTTTGCTTTTTCTTTTGAAAATTATAAACAATATATATTATAGCTAATTATTTTTTAATCTAGGTTTGATTTTGGTGGTGAAATGTTATTAGCATATGACGATAACAACCTTAGTGAAGTTACTGCAGTTGCGGATGGCGAGGCACAAGTTGTTTTAATGTGGTGGGAATTGGATATGGATTCAGAAGATACTGTTATTACATGTGCACCTTCTTGGGTAAGTTTTTATATATATTGTTGAGTATGTTCCTAACGGTGCTGATATCACAAATACCAATTATTTACAGTTTCTGTATTCATATTGGATTGTGAGTACTATTTTATACCCATAGACAATTCAACCACAGCTATGGTATGCTTTTTCTGATGCACCAGCTTAGGCAAGGTATGGTTTTCTTATATATTGGTATTATTAATGATTGTTGTCTACCTCCACTTTCTCCACCTGTTCCACATGAGATAAGCAAATGCTTTCATTTTTATGGTTTAGGACTCATAGAAAATGGTGGATGGAAATCACTACAATTGATATAATTTAGTTTTTTCACTATTCCTCAACTTTCCTCTAAGTTGAGTAAAATCGAAAGAGTCTATTAAAATATAGGTATAAAACTAGTGGATGGAATTTGATGAAATTTATTAGGGACCATTTAAAAACCAACACACACAATCTGAAAATGTAATAACAATTGAATTCATGATAGTAAGTGATATGCCCGTACATGGATACAAATACATGGATTTGACTATACAGCACCAAATTTGTTCCTTGATGTCTAAAAGATAAAATGTCGGTGGAAATTTAACTTCCTGCACAAATATAAAGCTTCCCTATCTTTGGTAGTGAGGGAGCAAAAAAAAATTTGTCTTTATGATATACTAATCTAACAACATTCTTCAAATTTAAAGATTTAATGTTATTCATTACTTATCATTTTTAAACATTACTGCTACTTGGAATTGGTGTAAATATTGAAAATTTAATTCATTGATATCTGTGACATCATCATCTTGGTGGAAATAAAATGTATAGGCATAAATTTGTACCTTTTTTTATAAGTGAATATTCCTTAATAATAATTAAAATAATTGTTTAAAATTAAATTGTTATAGTATGAACCATCAGCACCTTGGAGGGACCACTGGATGCAGGCTGTTTACCATTTACCAAAAAGGTTCCACGTTAAAGAAGGTCAAAAGTTTGCACTGCTGTCCTCTCATGATGAATTTTCTTTTTGGTTCAATATTTATTCTGACCTGTAAGTAGTGTTTTTTAAACCGTCTAAGATTATTATTTATTTTTGTTAACCATCTGGTTGTTAAAAATAATATTGTTTTTTATTATCTAAGTAAGCTAGTTGAGCTAATAAAACACATTTTATATTTACTTGACTTTCAAGAAATTTGACAATGTTCCCCTTCCCCTTCCTCCTCCCTCCCCCCCCCAATTTTTATAATAATACGCAATGCTATTACGAGGATGGTCTGAAAAGTTTCCGACCGCAACGTGAAGATGGCAGCACTCGTAAATAAAAGCGAGTGAATTTTGTTGTTCATGTGTTGACAGTTACTCACCAAAGTTTCAGCCATTTTGGATGTGCAGTTTTTATGTAACAGTCGCTTGAGTGAGTAGATGTGAGTGTTTTTATGAAAATGGACAAAATCAAGTATCGAGCTGTCATTAAATATTTGTTTTTGAAAGGCAATACACCTATGCAAATTAAAGATGATTTGGATTCTGTGTATGGGGGCTCTGCACCATCATTTACCTCAGTGAAATTTAGGGCAGCTGAATTTAAACGTAGTTGTAAGAGCTTGGGAGATGATGAACGTTCGGAATATCCAAAAACTGCAACTACCGATGAAAACATCGCCAAAATTCACCAAACTGCTAGACGACCGCCGAATTAAAGTAAGAGAGATAGCAGAGGTTATGAACATGTCAAAAGAACGTGTTTGTTACATATTAAATCAAAATTTAGATATGAGTAAGCTGTCCACTCGTTGGATGCTGTGTTCGAGACAACGCACCGTTTCACACTGCAGCAGTTGTCATGTTTGAAAATCCACGAATTATGATTTGGACTGCTTGACCACCAGATTTGCCTTACTCACCAGATCTAGCTCCAAGCGACTTCTTTTTCTTCCCTTATCTAAAAATTGTGCTCGGAGGACAGAGATTGTCATCAAATGAAGAAACAATCACCATCGTGGACAATTATTTTGCAGAGAAAAACGCTGAGCACTTTTCAGAAGGGTTACAGAAATGGGAGCATCGCTGGGAGAAGTGTGTAGAGTTACAAGGAGACTAGGTTGAAAAATAAAAAAAAAAATCAGAAAAAAAAATGTCTTGTATTTTTGTTAGGTTAGAAACTTTTCAGACCGCTTTTGTATGTTTAAGAAACTGTAAAACTTTTAATACAGTTATCTAAAAACACCAGTTTTTTTAATTATACCCCTTTTCATTCTGGATGTGCGACATCTATACCTATGAAATAAAAGTGGACTGGTGTTTTTAAAAGCAAACCCCTATTGCAATTGATCTAGGACATAGTTTGAAAAGCAAAAAATGTTAAATACTAACATGAAATAATGCTAAATTAGAAAAAAAGAGACGTAAGGTGGTATCCACAGTTGTTCTAACTCCACATAAACATTCCATCAAAAAAGGAATACTAGGAAGTCAATTAAAAAATAAATCCTTTCAGTCAATTTGATGGTTAATTCTCCTTCTCTTAAACATTAACTGAAAAAGGTTTAAAGTATTAATTGAGCATCGAATAAGTAAAGGAGGGTACGGGACTGTTTCAATTTACAATAATGTTCTTGTTTCGTAGAGATGTCTGCAATCAAATTGACTCAAAGGACCTGTTTTTAATTAAGTTTTATAAAAGTATTTTTTTTTATAGAACATTCAAGGGGAGGAATGATTATGCTTACCAACATTAGTGTCCTAAGGTGTAGTAGAAATTAGAAATGTTTAAAATATTATAATATTACGTTTTTATCAACTTTATTTAGTTCTGAAGGAATGAAATATAAGGGAAACGTTCAAGCTCCTATTTGCACTTGTGGTGCACATGTGATTACATCAAGGACTCGAATTTCCGAAATGAATTCAGCCGAAAGATGGAAGGTTTTGAGATCAATGTCGCCTCCAAAGGGAGGAGTGTGCCTGTTCTTGGGAGATTTTTCTTTAGTGCCTTTGGCTATTGCAAAGCAGTCTGCTAAGAAGGTAATCTTACTCACTAAAAAAAGTAGGTTTGAACCTGATTAAATATTATTTGAATTAAAATATATCCTCCTCGTTGCAGGTGTATTGCATTGAAGAAAATCCGACTGCTCTAAAAATATGGTCTAAAATTATTGAATACAATCAGTTGACTGACCAAATCATTGTACTTTCAGAATATAATAGAGATCTGATTTCTGAAAAGGTAATTCCTACGGTTTTCTTGTGTATTTAGTCATTTTTATAGTATTATTTCTCTAAGGTTATCACTATGCCATATTTCCCTCAGTGCTATATCAAAACCTATGATTGAGCCATCATTTTAAAGATTACTTTCACTGCTAATGCCGATAAATAATTTATGATTTTTTTTTTTTTTAAATCAACTACAAAGTCCATATTAAATATTGTCTAGTTTACTGAGGAGTAATTGTTAATTATTTAAATTATATATCATTTTAAGCTCTTGCTACCTATTTAACTAAAAATGTGACACTTAAAATAACACAAATCTTAAATTTCTGCTGAAAATCGGACATGTGTTTATACAAACTTTTTTGTAGCTCTTCAGGTCTAGTACCACTATCCCTCTGCTTATGGGACACTCTGTATACATAATTATCAGAAATATGATTAAATTTCCTACATGGCAATAAAAAAAAATCATCAAAATATGTAGACATGTGTTGTTTAATATTAATAATAACAATAATTGACCTAGAGATAAGAATTTTTACTCATTTCCCTCAAAATTTACAAATTTCTATTTTATATGACTAATTGATGACTGACCAATATACAATACGATTTATTCAAACAGACTAACTAGTATGATCGAATTTTACTGAACCCACCTAAAATGTTAATGAATTAGTAAATGTTTTTAGCTGTTATTTATTAAATGAAATTTTAATATGGTGATTTGTTACTGTATAATGAAAAAAAAAATCATTACTACCTATAAAGGATTTTTGGTTTAATTAATTATAGGGAAGTACTTTTTCTAGTCCTACAGTTGTACTATGTGATTTGTCTGGAACCACACTCAACTGCCAGATTTTTTTCCCAAAGTATCTAATTCATAGAGGCTGAGAATATGCTCTTGGAGGATCTCCTGATTCCAGAGTAGATCCTTGGCTGTTATATCAGAATCAATTATTATTTGGCACATCCGAGCTAGAACACGAAACTGGGAGAATGTGAGTATAATGGCTTGGCTAAATAAGCTACACTTCTCCCTGAAAATGAAAAATAAATATTTATAGGGAGCTGGGGTAGCTTGGGGGCTAAGCAATGCCGAGCATGGTTAGCACATGGATGGGTGACCGTCCACCATGGAAAGCCACGCTGCTCGAGATCTCCCCTCCCCCCGGGTATGTGAGGCCCATCAGCCTACTGGAGGCATCTCACACTGACCGGGTGTAGGACTGATATGCCCTTAGAATTATACCCCATTATATTGGAGTTACATGCCCCGTGTACTTAAATCGGGTATCGGGATGTGGTCTAGGAGACCACATCTTGCCGTCAAAGATTTTCATAATCTGTAGCATTGATTTCAACTGAAAATATATATATATATATATATATATTTAACAGTCATTCATTTTACACTTATAAATGTGAATTTTTATATTCAAAATAATCTTAAACCGTAGTAAAATTGATTTCATGGTACCTGAATTTTGTTGCAGATTGATTATGTTTTGAGTGAACCATATTTCAGAAAATCGATTTATCCATGGGATAACATGAGATGCGCTTTTGCCTGGGAAAGCTTGGCCCCAGATGCTAACTTGTACTTTCCTCATTGCCTTAGAATAGTAACTGTGGCCATGAGTTTTAATGATTTACATAAGATAAAGGTTCCTCTTGGTAATGTAGAAGCTTTTGATCTCACTTCTTTTGACCATTTAATAAAGGTAAGTAAAAGTAATTAACTCTTATTATTACTGTTATGATAATTTAGGATTAACTTTAATTTTACTAACTTCAACTAGTTAATCATCAATTGGTGAAATTCTTGTTGCACCAACCTTGATTAGCCTTAACATCTGGTCAAGTAATAAAAGTTACCTTACCACTATCGAGACATCAACTAAATCTTTAATCAATGTTAAAGTGTTACCTTGTCTATGATTATTTCTAACTAGACACCAATCGTATTTCAATTTCTCTGAAGAAATTTTTTACAGTTGATTTAATTTGATTATTTATGAAAATAATAATAATAATAATGCTTTATTTATTCTTTAGAATAATGTGGGCTTTAGAGCCTCAGAGAATAATTACAAAGTAAACAGATTTATATGTTGAATAAATAAAAGAAAAAAATATTATTTACCTTCAGTCTTCAATTAAGAGAAAAAAATTAATAGAAGTATTTAAAACAAACTAATTATTTATATACATATTTAAAATAGTTTTTTTTGTTTTACCTACAAGAAATAAAGAAAAATGAGATAAGATTGTAAAGAAAATTCATCATCAGACAAACAATTATTACAACTCATCAATCTGCTTACTAAAAGAACTAATACAGAATAAGAAATTGTCCATTCAATGGTTATGGTGAATCCTCATTTAAATTAAGATATAGATTTACAAAAGAATTAGTTTTCAATTCAATAAATGTTTTCGACATTGATAATTTGGCATTATAACTGTTTTATGTCAGTCACTTGTAGCTTTGAAGTATTATGGTACTAAGAATTTCCAAACAAGTTCTAGAAATTCATCAAAAATAAGGTGACATCACACATTAACCCTAGTTAACTAACTTGGGTTAAAAATTTATTGGAGCTTTAGTGACAAATTTTAAGTTAAACTATACTTAAGTTTTCACCAGAGTTAGTTAACTGAGAATGTTTATTTTAATCAAGGCTGTCAATGCAACTGGCCCTCTGTTTTATGCATTGATAAATATTTTAGCACTCCATTGTTGCTATTGCATGAAGCATGTTATATACAATTTAATTCTTCATTTCCATTGAATTAATTTATTTTCTTGTTTTTTTTCAGGGTTCAAGTGAAAAGTCGGAAAGTGATGTCGAAACTCAGCCACTTTGGGAATATCCTGGAATTGCACTGTCTGGTCCTGCTGTGATATATGAGCTTATGCCTAAAGTAGGAAATATTGATAAGAAATTGTATTCAGATGGATCTTTCAATATCAAGAGGTACCCATAGCAAACAATCTATAAAATTTTTATTAATATATTATTCATTTCTCACTCTTATTTTCAGATAATAAAAAATAATGAGATTTGTCAATTTTACTATTTTTCTGGTTGGATAGTCTATTTATAACTTTAAAATCTGATTTTTTTTTCACAATAATAATTCATTCTCAAGAAATTTCATTTTGGTCTTCTATTATTAATAATGGTGCGAGTAAAAGCAGAATTGTAAATTGTAGTCTGTCTGTAAATTTTTTTTCCCATGTTTAAAAGTTTCTCCAAATTTATAATCCCCTAAACTGACCTTAAATCTTATTAAAATCTTAAAAGTTAATAATCCCATAAAAATGTGTCATCAAACGTTTTAAGTGCACAACTTATACCATGCATCCATTTTCCGAGTCCTGCCATACTACTGTACCTATCCAGGTGCCATAGTTTTATACGGTATATCTATACAGCATTTTTGTTTTAGGTCTGGAGAATGTCATGGTCTTGCAATTTGGGTAGATTATTTCGGTTCAGATGTGGTTCTGAGTGGGGCTGGGCCCAAGGAGTACATTGTCCCAGGAAAAACTGTCAGGTAGTTCATTATTCTTTTTTATCATTTATTTATATTGTTCCTCTAAAGTTATAACATTTATATTTCCAAGTCAATATTTTTACAACTTTTTCCTGTTTTAGTGTTTGGTTATTTTCATGTATGTATATTAATGAGTGGTTAAATTATAGATGGGATCGTACTGCACGTCAGGGTGTTTACCTTTTTAGAACACCTTTAACTTTAGAAGAAGGTCAAGCCATGGAGTTTTCATTTGAACTAGCACCATCCGAGGGCAATATTGAATTTAGATTTCAACCCAAGCCGTATACCTGACAATTGCCCATTCCTCAAACTGAATACGACTGACTAATCGAGTTTAAATCCTGCTCATTTCTTTCTGTTTTCTAATAATATTATGTAAATTATGGTTACCAATTTTCTCTTTTGTAAATATGACACTATTTCATTGCCTTTTAGTTTGTTTTGGTCAACAATGTTTTGGTCTGTTATTGTGGCATTGAATATTATCATAATATTATATGGTTTTGTTAAGAATCTCAAGAATACTAAATATTAGCACTGTTTCTAAATTTTTTTACATTTGTAAAAGAAAAATATATTTCTTTTATACTTTTATATCCAAAGCTAATATTATTATTAATTATACCATGAATTGTTTTGAATTTGTTTACAAATGTAAATAATTTTGTTTCATTAAAATGAAATTAAACAGCTATGTTGTTACATTGTAATTTAATTACTTTCAGTATAATTACAAATAATTATAATATTTTAAAATTGAAAATAGTTTTGTTAATATTAAACAGTAACAATTATGTTTTGTTAAATATTGTCTGTCAAAGAAAAACGACTTTCAAGTTATTCATTTGTGTCAACTTTGTATCTTATTTCAGTTGTAGCAATACCTGATGCATATATTTGGAGATGTTTACTATTATAATTTACAAAGTCAAAATTAATTCAAAAGAGAAAGCCACTTAATTTTAATTTATGTGTCAATGAATAAACTGTTTTACTTTCTACTCTTTATCGAACTTAAGCTTTTTAAGAAATATCTAGCATTTTATGTTTCATTCTGGACACATTAACCTGCTTGAAGTCCAATTTATACAAATTATGTTTGTATTCTACCTATAATATCAAATGATATGTATATTTAATTTAGTTAGTAAATGATTGGAAAGTAATAATTTTCTTGTAAGCAATCCTTGAAATTTATAATTAATATTATATTAACAGTAATCCTTGAATGATTGTGGCTCAATACTTTTTAACCAACACAATCTGAATGAGTTAACTACGTTTCTTAAAGCTTAGCTTAAAAAAAAAAAAAAAATAGAAAAAGTTTTTGATCGAATTTATTCATTAATTGCAATCTTATTTATTTTCTTATTTATATATATTTTATTAGTGACATAAAGTGCCTATAACCTAAATGTGTATTGTGATTTGTTCATTTTTATTCTATTGTATTTTATATTGAAAATGAGATAGATAAAGCCTAAAAGTACTGATAACTATCAGATAAGTTCTTAGATTTTCTCCTTTTAACAAGCTCGGCCATAACATCCTTGAAATAATTGTTTCTGACTCGATATAATGATGATTTCCTTGTTCTCTCGACTAATCATACACTGCAAATTACATGATTTGGTGAACTGGTGTTGCTCATTATGAACATTTGTGTGTATAAAAAACTTTTGTTAAGCTCTCCTGAATCTAGAAATATTCTGTTTATAAATGTAGGTTTTAAATTTTCTAAAAATTTAGAACTGTATCTTAATATTAATTGAGCAATATCGAACTATTCTTTTTATATATATTAAAATGCTGAACCTTGCATAGAAGGCTGTTGTTTTTCGTGTTGTAAAAGTGCAGCTTTTTCAGGCTCAAATTATTTGTTGCAATATTAAAATTTGTAATAAATAAAAAGTTTTTAATTTTATATTTGTAACTGAATAAGTGATCATTTTAGACCTGCACCATTGCAGTATTTTCTAATATGTTATTTATATTTCAAAAATATTCAATTTTTAACCATTCCTTTGTTATGCTGGTTATTAGGTTTATTTAAAAGTTATTGATTTATGTTTTATAAAGTTATAATTTAGTTTGATCAATATTGATTGAAACCTAATGTATTTGGGTTGCTATAGTCACCTATGAAACTGCATGTGAAGCTATATGTTTTGTTGCCATAACCACTGTTCTTACTTTTAGTTAAATTATTACGGCTTTTCATTGTAATAAAGCAATAAAAGCTGAAGGTTAATTTAGTTGTTTTGATTTCAAAGTTTAACCCACTAATTATTAATTAAGATATTTAAAAATTGTATCATTTATCTCTCAAGCTTTCTTTTTAACACTGACCTTCAAAACAGGTTTTTAAATTTAACATGGTAAGTAAACTTTTTAGAAATTATTCTATAGTCTATTAAATGTTACATTGTTTTTTACAATAATTAATTATAAATTCTGAACAGTATAAAACCCTAGGACCCCTCTTGTTCCCCAAACTTTTTGACATTAGTAGCAGCTTTTAAATTAGGCAGTGATAAAGGAGGCTGCTATATTTTCTCATTTTATTGTTTGTTTTTTATTTGTTTAAGCGTGTATATATATATATATATATATATATATATATATCTTAGTTTTCATTTAGTTATAATCTATTTAATCAAATATGAATTAATAATAGAGTTTGCTTTTATCAAAACCATACGATACTCAGGCTGCATGTTTTCTACCTAAGGTGTTAATTGCTAACCTAATCAGTTGGAATTTTTAAGGACATAGAAGAGAAGATGATATAATTTTTTTTATTTAATCTCTTAATACTGATTTGAAAATATTAAGATCCAAGAAATTCTGAATCGCAGATTTAACCCTCTACACTCATAGACTAATTGAGTTTAACTAATGATGATCACACTGTATTCCAAGAATCAGATATCTTGTTCCCCTAGGCCTTTCATGTGCTGTCATGAATCCAATTAATTGTTAATTATAAATGGTTCACTAACTAATACTTTGAAATAAGATTATATTAAATGGAATAATGAGTGAAAGATTTACCTCAATAGACAAGATAGTTAATATTTTTCTATAATATAAATGATCAACTAGTTTAAACCAAATTTAAAATATAAATTGATAATTTGTTTTTAATTGTTGTTATTGTATACTTCAGCAGTCAATCATAACTTTGGAAAAACCATTGACGAGAGTCGCTCTTCCTGATTGGCACGGTAATGATTTTTCAGTAACTAATCAGAAAACGCCAAGTATTTTTATTTTTTAGAAAGTAAAATATAAATTTATTTGAAACAGGTAAAGTTTGGGAGCTTCGACAGACATGCGACACAAGGAGAAAAGATGCTTCCAATTTGAAAAACTCATCAAAAGAAATGAGAAATGACACTGATTGTACTACTCGTTGGGATACATACATAAATAACAACAGGCTACAAGACAGGTTTCATGACATTTTTCTCTCCTCTTAATAAAAATAAAGGTGAAAGTAAAATTGATATTGGTGGAATATGAACTGGGATCAACAGTCTTAAAAATTTATAATTGGTAAATGGTTGACTGTCGTGGATAATGAAGAGAAGAATAGTTGGGGTGGTCAGTCAAAAAAGAAGGCAAAAATAAATGATAATATTTATTTTTACAAATGCTGACGTTTCGATCTGAAGTTCAGGGCTAAGAAAATAACCAGATAACAAGATATGAGAAACATAAGTAGTGATGGTAAAAAAAAAAAATTAATAAAGTAAAATGAAATTGTTAGAATATTCTAATTTTAATTTAATTATTATTTTATTAATTTAATATAATTATTTTAATTATTCTAACAATTTTATTTTTTTTACCATCACTACTTATGTTTCTCATACCTTGTTATCTAGTTATTTTCTTAGGCCTGAACTTCAGGTCGAAACGTCGGCATTTGTAAAAATAAATATCATTTATTTTTGCCTTCTTTTTTGACTGACCACCCCAACTATTCTTCTCTTCGTCTTAAAAATTTCTATTTATTTATTTCTTCATTAATGTGAAAATTCAATATAGTTAGAAACTCATAGAAATAAACTGTTCTGATCGAGTTTTTTTATGAAATTTAAAAAAATATATATATATATAAATGTATATTGAAATTTATTAGGAAACCATATTAATTATAACTAAAGGCCGGATTTTCTTGCTTTAAAAATCCAGAAAAGGTGTAGTAAAAAATTCAAAACGTGCAGTAGAAATCCAAAATACGTAAAATTGTGTAATTAACACTTGAAAGTTTGTAAAATCATCAATATTGTTTAATTTATAATATTAATACATCAAAATCTTATCAGATTTTGAATTAACCGAGAGATAAAAAAAAAGAAATTGAAATGTAACATTGAAACTGAAATTCCAGATTATAATAACGATTATTATCAAATAATGCAGAACATTAAAGGTTTGAAGGAGTTATATGTACCTATATACTATCTATACCAGTCCAGTTTTAGATATTTAACTTTTATTAAAAATAATAATGAAAACTTTATTTTTTAATAGCGTTGAAATTTCCAATATTATACATTTCAAAACGTTTTTGTTAAAATTTAAAGATTTATTTAAAAAAATTTAAATAGACTATAAAGTTTGAGATTTTCGATTGTTCAAATGTTACTGTTGAAGCAGTTTTGCTATATCACCAAAAAAAATATTTTTGGACGAAATCGTTCTTTCTAAAAAAAAAAAAAAAAAAACCATTAAATTCTTTGATAAGAATATTTGATTCTTACATCTTCCCCAATGATCGTCTATTAGTGATTTCATATCAGCTATTTAATTCTTCATAATACATAAAACTCATAAAATTCTTTGTCCTCAGATTTCAAATTGGGGTATTTTTTATCCAGATTTTAATTTTTGACGGGACACTAGATTTACATTATATATTCAATATTCAGCATTATCAATTTTTATTTTTTATGAGAATAAAATTTCTACAAATCAATTCAAAGCGAGAAGAGATACTAAAGGGTTGAACGGTGAGTGAGAATTCAAGTCAAAACAATAACTATAAAAATGCCTTACTAACAATTAAATAGCTAATTCTAGGAAAGCAGCTTTTTATTATCCAATACTTTAAGCAAGTTGTATTCCAAGAATAGATCTCACTTGTGTTTACTTCTTCCTTTTGGAATGAATAGGATTATTTGCTTTCCTCATATTTTTCTATTTTGAATAATAAATTTAATTTGAACAATACAGCAAAGAAATATGAACACACTCACTTATACATTCATGTTTATAAATCA